TATAATTGCCTCTATAGTATTCAAAAATTATAAAACTACCACATATATGGCAAATCTTCCAATTTAATTAACTCTATGATATTCAAAAATTACAAGAGTGTCATATATAATTATTTATGATTTTGCCATCCCTCTTCTCTCTCACCTAATTCTCTCTCTCCTCCTATTATTTATCGCAACTCTTATTTATTTTTTATTATTATCTAAGCACTTATTTATTTAATAAAATTAAATAAATTATTTATAAATAAAAAAATAAAGGAGATTTGACCTTGAGAGAAATATTTTAATATACATTTATTTATTTATTTTCTTATTATTATCTAAGCATTTATTTATTTAATAAAAATAAATAAATTATTTATAAATTAGTAAAATAAAGGAGATTTTTACATTGGGGAGGGAGGAACCATTAGGGTGGGGAGTGGGGGAGGGGGAAAATATACATGAAGAGTGGGGATTTGCTGGGCCATAAGGGGGCTATGGCTGTCTAGGGTCCCCTTAGGCTTCGCTCCTAAGGTTGGGATTAAACCTATTCACACGCCATACTAGGCTTTGCCTTATCAACAAAACATATTTAGGCTTAAGCCCAAGCATGACTAGACCATCGAGTCTAGATCTTGAGCCCGAGTCTGACCCCCATATAAAGCCCAAAGCCCGAGCAAGAAATTGAAAAAAAAAAGATTTGTATTCTTTATTTAACAACAAAAAAATGATTTATTTATATTAAATTGACTTCAAAGGTGAACTTTTTATTTATTTATTGTTTTATTTTATTAAATTAAATATATTATTATCCATAAATTTTTGTTTGTTTAATTCAACATGCACCCATTATTTAGGGTTGTCAATGGGTCGAGTTTGGTTCTAGATAACTTGGACCAGTCATGTCCTAATAATAAATGCATATTTACTTATATATATTTTATTACACTAAATAATTGATTTATTTATTTTACAAAATTAAGTAAATTATTATCCATAAATTTTTATTTATTTAATTTACTAAATTAATTAATTAATAATCTGTTTTACTAACAAATTATTTATCTTTCTCCATAAGCCTAATAATTTAGGCAATGCTTTCAAAATTGGACCAAAAAATCGGGAATTGGTCACCTAACCGATTTTGTTTAACCCCAAAATCGCTTTTTGGCCAAAAATCGTTGATTTGGCCAACGAACTACTGACCCGAGCGGTCAAATCGTAAAACCATTCGACCTAGGAGCGGTTTTGGCCATTCTTTGGGCTATTTTATTTTATTTTTTGTCAAAGCAGGCTATCCGTTCGGACCAAACAGTCAAGCCATTCAACCTGGGAACTAGACCCGAGAACGGTTCCTTGTCTGGTCCAGTTCTAAAAACATTGAAATTAGGACTATCAATAAGTTAGGTCTATATGTTGGGCAGGAATGGAGCTAGGAATTTTTTATGAGAGGCACTAAAATCTAAGTGGATTAGGGGGTAATTTAGTGCTATCAATAGGTTAGGTCTAGGTTGGGCAGGAGCAGAGCTAAGAATTTTTTATGAGGGGTTTTCAAAATCTAAGTGAAATTGGGAGTAGGGGAATAAAATATGGATGGCCATTAGGGGGCAACCATTGGGGTGGTGAGTGAGGGAGTAAGGGTGCAAATGGATTGGATCAGTTTACCCATGGGTCGAATCTTCGGATTGGATCCTATGATCTGATTAGAAATTGGATTGAATTGGGATCACCCTTATCCAATCCAAGAAGAACCAATCCAATGTGTTATATATATAGAGAGAGAAAATTTAAATTGGTATATTTAATTTTTTTCCTTTAATAATTTATTAATTTTTAAAGAAAACAAGTTGGATCCAATCCAATTCGAAGATCTGATAGGATTCGAATTCAGATTGAGTCCTATCAGATCCGATCGGATTGGATCTGACATGAATGGTGTCAAATCAAATTCGAGTCCAATCTAATCTGTTTGCATCTCTATGGGAGAGGGGGATTTTTTTTTTTGAGGGCGGGAACGGGGGAAATATAGATGAAGAGTGGGGATTTGTTGGGCCATAAGCCATGGCTCCTTGGGGTCCCCTTGTGGCCTTGTCTCTACCCCCGGGGTTGGAATTGAACTTATTCATAGGCCACGCTAGGCTTTGCCTTTATATCAACGAACATATTTAGGCCCAAGCCTGAGCAAGGTTGGACCATCGGGCCTAAATCTTGAGCCCAAACCTGACCCCATATAAAGTCTAAAGCTCGACTAAGAAATTGAGAAAAAAGATTTGTATTCTTTATTTAACAACAAAATTGATTTATTTATATTAAATTGACTTCAAAACTGAAACTTTTATTTATTGTTTTATTTTATTTTATTAAATATATTATTATCTATAAATTTATATTTATTTTAAATAAATCTTTTTTTCTTAAAAACTTTGAATTAAAAATTTTACCGTTTGCAAATTCAATTTTTTCCTATACAATAATTTAACTTTTGCATGCACTTCAACGCTGGGCCCCTCCGCTAGTCATGTTGATTAATACAAGTGCATAGCAGCAGGTGTTCTTATACTAGTAAACAAGTTAATCAGATTACAGTAATGTAATTTATATTTTTTACCTTTTCTTTTTGGATTTCATAACCTTTGAATTTTGTGAAAATTTCCAATTTCGACCTGGGGGGGGCGGTCATTTTTCTATTCTTATAATTTGGTGAGAAGACCATTTATAGAAAAAACAAACAACGTTTGTAATAATGTCAATCATTTGAAATTGAATAAAATAATTGAAAATTTCCTAATCAGCCTATATACGTTTTACGTTTTCAGGTCGGTCCTACACAGTAATCCCACGCGTTAGAGCAATGTACATGTCACCACCTAATTGGGAAAAAAACAAAAGAATCATGTTCGACCATAGACTTCGCCTTCGGTGAAAAACTCTCTTCAAACGATATCAGGAATCCGATCGTCTTCTTCATCTCCGACCGTTGTTCGAGCTCACTCCGATTGTCTTCTTCGTCATCGGCTGTCGTTCGAGCTCACTCCGGTCGTCTTATCATCTCTTCGAGTTCTTTTTCTCACCAATACAAAGAAAACACAATAGTGACTTCCATCCAAGCACACAAGGTTTTCAATTGTCTTCCTCATCTTCGACCGCCTTTCACTATGATTTTTTTGCTTTGTGTTCACCAATATAGAGAATAACACACTGGTCACTTCCATCGAGAAGAAAGGAGAAAAACACACAAGTCATCGGTTTACAAGCTTTTCATAGGTACTGATGTAGGGGTATTTGGCGGATCTTAGATTATGTCACGTGGCATCGGTCAGATCAAATCCTAACCGTACATCACTGATTGCTTTTAATCACTCCTAAGGCAAGGTTAACTATAAAAGGGGGTATTCATCTCAAGGTAAGCATATTAGAATCCCAAGAGAATAATTCTTGGCTATTAAGGACTAAGCTCTAAGCTTTTGTTTCTTGCCTGGTCCGATTTTTCTTAAGCACTCGGCTAACTTGATCGTCAGAATCTCCATCCTTGGAATAACACTCAGGGCCTTTGACATATACTCTTCTCTTATTTACAGATCAGTCCTATCGGCCTTGAATACTAGTGAAATCACTTTACTGCCCTTGGCCTCATATTTTGCAATGGTAATTGACATTTTTACCTTTATTTGATACATGAAGAATATTTTTTTTTTAAGTTGCCTTTCTTATTGAGTTTTCAATTGCTCGTATTACCATTACCTAATGCATTATTTTAAGTAATAATGTAGACAATAAAAACATTTTTACTAATTATTTTATTTTTCCTTTTTTTTTTTATGAAATTCATGGTAAAATGAGTGTGGATGTATATGTGGAATTGTAATGATTTATTGGGTGAAAATTTTGAAAATAGTAACAATGAGTTGTTGTATGGATATTTGAAGGACATGGTCAATAAAATATATTACAAGGTACCCAATTTGGGGTTAAGTGATGGTTTGAATGAAGTATTTGATGATTCAACAACATTTGGGTTGTTGAGCTATGCATCCAAGGGTGGATTTCTTGACATGTATATAGACCACAATGTGTCAAACCCAACATATAACACAACAAGGTGCACTCCCAAATAAGTTGGTGGGGGAACCCATCATCAATTAGTACCCTCCAAGTGAATTTAAATGATCAGATACCTGAGCATGAATTTCTTGGGTACGATGGCAGTCAAGGTAATGTTGGCTCAATTGATTGATGATGTAATTTTATATATTTTGTAGGGTGATTTGGAGAATGTAACCACTGAACAAGGGGAAATCGGTTAGGCTAAGGTTTTTAATGTTAGAGAGACCAAAGTGGAAGACCCTCGTGGAGGGATTGAAGGGGAAGAACCCATTGAAGGGAGATGTTCCCAATACATGGTAGGATGTGTATGTGAGGACCTGTGAGGCACCAGGTGTGAGGAGCAGATCCAATCTCAATTAAAAGTGATGGGGAGTCTGATGAGGAGTCTACAACCTCACATTGACCTCACGGACACATTCCATCATCATGTATGGGAATATCTCCCGTACTTATGTCTTATTATTTATGAGAGATATTCTCAATGCACGGTGGCACTAATCACATCGAGCGGTCTCGCACTCACTGGTCCAATGCGGGTTTCCCCCATTGCTGAAAATTCTATCTCAGGGATCTCCACTCTGACCCCGAAAACAAAAGCAAAATTAGAACATGCACGTCCACTGTGCATTGGAAAAATCTCTGGTGAATAATAATTAGTGATTATGGGAGATGATTCATGAATAATAATTAATATGTACGGGAGATGTGTATCTGAGGACCTTGTATGGGAATATCTCCCGTACTTATATCTTATTATTTATGAGAGATGTTCTCAATGCATGTGGCACCGATCACATCGAGCGGTTCACACTCACTGGTCCAATGCGGGTTTTCCCCATTGCTGAAAATTCTAATATCAGGGATCTCCACTCTGACCCCAAAAACAAAAGCAAAATTGGAGGAAAGATATTCCGATAGTTCAATAAAGTCCCGTCCATTTTGAACAAATCCCAACCTATCCCTTTTGCGACGACCCTGTGTTCGTTCCATATCCAAGTATCCTTTAGGGGTATTATGGGAGATTGGGAGTTGAAGTTTCATTAGTTGTGTGGATACTTTCAGATTCTGCTCTTGTTTAATTTTAATGAAGGGGAAGAAAAGTTGGGGGGGAAACCTAAAACCTGTGGACTGTGGAATTGTCAGTTTCTGGGAGGAAAGCATATAAAAGGGGGTAGAGGGAGGAAGGGAAGGCTGTTGAGCAGTACGTTCTCTTCTCGTTATTGGGTGGTTTGATTTTTCGTTTTGTTGAATTTGATCGAAGATGGAGGAAGTTGACCACCTAGCTCATGAGAGGAACAACGCCGAGTTCGATGTTGAAGCTATGAAGATCGTTTGGGCCGGCTCTAAGCACGCATACGAAGTCTCAGACCGTATGGCTAGGCTTGTTGCTAGCGATCCTGTAAGTTTTCCACGTTTTTTGGCACAACTTTGCATCCGGGCATCGTTTCTTTTGTCTTTGGTTTGAGTTTGAACAATTTTAGATATGTTTTCCCCCTATTCCTGGTATTTTTTTGGAGACAATGCATTCTTTTAATTTTTCTCGATGTGAAGGGAGCTTTAGTTTGTTAGCTTGGGCTGTGTTTGAAGAAGTAAGAGAAATCTGGCTGCTGAATTTTTGTAATTTGAGACTGGTTCCATGAAGCAGATTTGGTTTTGTTGTTTCGGAACATTCAATTGTAGCTTTATTGATCAACGGAGAAAATTAGTAGCTTAATAATTTCATGAATCTGCATTGCCCACTACAACAAGACAGTTTTGTGCTTTTGTTTTTCCTTTTAATATTTTATGATTACTACTATTTCTACTGTGGTTCTTTTTATGGGCTTATGTGTAGGTCCAATGATACTTTGTAATCTGATCTCTGTGGTGCCTTCTTTGATGATTAGGTCTTTCGCAAAGATAATAGACCTATGCTTAGTCGGAAGGAGTTGTTTAAGAACACTCTAAGAAAAGCGACTCATGCATGGAAAAGGATCATTGAGCTCCGCCTTTCTGGTAATTTCCTTCTTTCCACATTGATGGGGCATTTAAATGTTATGTAAGCTTTTAATTTTGCGTTCTTTAGTGGTGGTCTCCATTGGTTTTGAGAGTTAAAATTTCTTCAGGCATATACAAATTTCTGTTGATTAATTTGTTTTTCATATTGGTTGTACTATCTAACTATTGGAGTTCTACAACAACAGAAGAAGAGGCATCCAGGTTAAGGTTTTATGTGGACGAACCTGCTTTTACTGATCTGCATTGGGTGAGTAACTTGCACTTGTACTTTTATGGGTATAAATATTGCAGTTATTCTATGTTGCTTATCTATTTATGAACCTCAGTACACATCCCAGATCCCTCAAAAAATATCAATATGTGTCCTTATTGAGATGAGCCCTATCATATGCCATGCATAATTTGCAATTGCAATTTAGGGGGTGTTTCTTCATATAAGAGAATATAAAGACTAAAGAGTACTGGCACCTCATTCATAAAAAAAAGAGTACCGGCACCTGATTGGACAATTAGGACTGTTCAAATTGGGACCGGGAAAGTTCTTCGGGTCAGCACAGGAATTGATCCAATGTGGCAGTGGCACAAAGCAAGACAGAACCATTTAAAGAGTTCTATTCTTTTATAAATCAATCTGCCAAGGCAGGTCGGACAAATTTCTGGTTCTGTGCCAGAGACAAATGACCTAAAGGAAGGGATGGTGAACTATCCTTCTTGGAATAAAATGTAACTCAAATTATTTGGTTTCAAAGAAATTTCATATGGTTTTGGACTTAGAAAAAGGGAGAAGGAAAAAACCAATGGAAAAGGAAACCTGGTTATCCATGATTAGAAGCAGCTGGATGATAATTTTTGAGGGAATAATATGATGCTGACTTGTCTTTGCTTCTCAGAATTTTACATGCTTTTATTATTATTTTTTTATCAATGAGAATTTTACATGCTTTTACAAACGCCATTAAAAATTACCACCATCATCTGATAGTAAATAAAAGCTTGAGAGAGAGGGTTGTGAAGAAGCCCTTATCTTGGCATTTGTCTTTTTCTTTAGTCGGCAGAAAAAGGTAAAATAATTAAATATACAAGTTTAAAATGCTAAAAGACAGACTTCAGACCATAATCTATAGGTCTTGCTACTTGTATCAAATGGATGCTAATAAGGGTAACCCAGATTACATGCAAAGGAGGCTTTTAATCTCATGAAACATGGATAAGATCCATAAATGGGGGTCAATGAGGGTACCTTATTTTTTGTGCTGTTCTGCATTTACTCTTTTTTTTTTCCTTATTCATCATTTTTCTACATTTACTAAGGGGTCATTGCTTTGTGCAGTGGTAATTTCTCAGTCTGACAAGTATGAGAATGCAGATTTAAGTCTAAGAGTTGCTTCTTTGTGCAAACAAAGAAAATTGTTGACAAAAGAAGCCCATCAGGAAACTTTATCTCTCTCATATGCAACTCCCTTAACCTTGGCTTACTTCAGCTCCCAAAGGATCAAAACATGTGAAAGTTAAATTTCTGCGAGAGTTTTGTGGAGGTGCACAAGGGTAGTGGTGTTATGAAATATGATCCATTTTGGAAGAACAGAATGCAGGATTTTTTCTTGAGAAGGAAAGGAGTGAGGAAATTGTGAAGGATTGTGCTATGACTAGGGTGATACATTGAGCTAGAACAATGGACATCTTTTCACACCTCTCCTTTGATGACACATGGAGAAACTGGGGTAAGGTGGCAAGGAATTCTTCAAGAAAGAGGATGATATGTGTTCCTTGGTCACCTCCATCTGAAGACTTCATCAAGCTAAACTTTGATGGCAGTGACCTTGGTAATCTGGGTCCATTAGGAGCATAGTTTTCAAGGCGCCAAGGCAAGGCTAGGCAACAGGGGGCGCCTAGGCATTGCCTAGGCAATGGATTTTTTAAGTAAAAAGCACATACCCTACGGTAGTTCCCTAGGTTCCATGACCATCCTTAATAACTATCCATAATTGTCGTAAGAAAATTATAAACTTCATGTTTAAATCTAGAAAATCAACATATTTATGAGAAGAAAAAGAAGAAAAGAAAATTCAAAAAATATAGGGGCTGAACCCCTATTTTTGTTATAGGAAAAGAAGAAAAGAAAAGGTGGAAGAAGAAGAAGACATGGAAGAAAAAATATGTTGATTAGACAAAATTTTAAGTTCTTCCCTTACTTACTGCTTCTGATTTTGAAGTCTTTGAGGGTTCAACAGCAGTTAGCAATGTTTGTGTTGATTAAACCTTAACAAATAAGAAAATAATAAAAAGAAATTAGTTTATAAATGTTTAATAATGTCTATTTTATAATTATAATCTCAGAAAAATAGCAACATAAAAGTATTTTATAAGACAATATACAAAACTGCTTGGCGACTGGGTAAGGCGAGCCTCCAAGGGCGACTTGTTGCCTAGGCGTCGCCTTGATAACTATGAAGACTTCAGTTGTAATGCTTTTTCTGTTTTTTTTTTTAATTGAATGAGGTGAATCTCACTCTCCTTGGGATGTTTATATTGTTGTATATATTGCTTTTCTAATAACAATAAAATTACTTATCAAAAAAACAAGTTAAATTTCTGTGAGAAAGCAAACACTCAATCAAATCAGTTCAATGTTTTGATGGAAGTATGCTTCTTTAAGCATTATTTTGGGTTGTATATTGGAATAGGGGTTAGGAATTAGGTTTTCAGACTCTAGATAATTCAGAAGTCCTTTGCTTTGATAGATAATAATAAAAACTTTTTATTACTGAAATATTGGAAGTTCATGAATATAAATTTGCTGGGAAGATAACATGATACAATACAGAACAGGTTAATGATGTATTGTGGTCCTGTGGACAATATGAATATATAATATAGAAATTTATAAACGAAAAAAAAAATCTTGATTGATAAAATGAAAATGTCTGAAAGTCAACCCTAGAAACCATATGATGGAATTATGATGCTGTACCCTGAATTTATCTTGTAATTAGTAACAAAGAGGTTGGATTCAGACATTTTAATAGTACATTGTTGTGATATATGACATTTTTGTAGTTTGATTTGTAACTTCTAATAAATGAGAAAAATAAATAGAAAGGAGAGAAATAACAGATATGAAGGGGAAGAAGAAGAGATAGTGTAGTCCTCTCTAACCTGTCGGCCGAAGGACGTACTAATATTTTAAGCGGTGTAAAATTACAATTATACCCATGTATGCATAAGGAGAAGAATAATAGGCTAAATAAAGACCAAAAGGCCCCTAACAACATAGAGTAACAACTTTGAAGAAGTGGTCTGTTGCAAGTTGGAGGGGGCTAGAAGGGCTAGTGGAAGACTAAAAAGGACATGGATTGAAGTAGCAAGAAATGATTTAAGTGCTCATGATTTATTGATGGATATGACACTAAACAGAATGGAATGGAAAATAGGATTAATGTAGCTGATCCCATACAGTTGGATTGATGATGATGGAATTTTTATAGTGAGCATTTGAATTGAAAGTAAAGACTAGGATTGATTATGGGTGCACTTTCTGGAGTCATGAGATGAATAGTTGGTATTAAGTACTAAAAATAGGTTATGTAGAAGTCCGAAGTGCAATTTTCACTGCAGCTAGTAACTGTTCCTTTTTATGGCTAATTAATAAAGTGGACAATTACCAATAAAAAAGAGCAAAATTACTGGCTTCAAATATCTGTTGGATAGATCTAGATTTATATTATTCAAATCACATTTGTTAACCACATTTCTATTTAGAATGAGATGCTTTCCCTATTTCCACTCCTAAGGTTGTGGTTAAGATCAAATTTGTCAATGACCAACTTCTTGTTGTATTCTGCATGGCCAAAACTGTGTTGTTCCCAGTGGATGATGAAAGGATCAAACTTCTCTTCTTATCTATGGTATATACTTGAAACGAAAGGTGCATATGGCCGAATGCCGAGAATTCAGCATTTGGTATCTGGGTGAAGGCTAAGAGATTGTTATTCGTTATCCATGTGCGATGTTCTTGACACGTGACAGTTGAACAGAATTTCGCTTGCATGTGGTTGACTCACATGTGGGAATTGAAGAATTTGTCTTGCTGTCTGTGGGATTCTGGAAGATTCCGTATCACCTCTCCCACTAGTCTCTTTGTCTCTGGGTTTCTCCGGTTCCCAGGGGTTTCCAATGGGAAGCTGCAAATAATAGACTTGGTTTCTGGTAGAGTTGTGCCTTAAGGTACCATATTTCCAACAAAAAAATTCCTCTACCAGCATTTTAGTGCTTTTGTGGTGTTTGGATTTAATTTCCTTCCATGTATTGCAGTATTCCATATTTTCTAACTTCTGTTACACATTTGGGGTTAAAAGTATGAACTTGATATTGATGCTTAATTTTACTTTCCCCTGTATTTATCTCCAAAAGAAACACTTAATTTTATTTTTCCAGTATTATTGATTTGCTGATTTTCTCTGTAGGGCATGTTTGTACCTGCCATAAAAGGGCAAGGCACCGAGGAGCAGCAACAGAAGTGGTTACCATTAGCATACAAGATGCAAATAATTGGATGTTATGCACAAACTGAACTTGGTCATGGCTCCAATGTTCAAGGACTTGAAACTACTGCAACATTTGATCCTAATACTGATGAGTTTGTTATCCACAGTCCTACCCTAACTTCAAGCAAGGTAGCCAACTCTTAATGAGAATCTGTATTTAATTTTCAAGAAATTGTGGGTTTAAAAAAGTCTAAGTTACCCAAGTCTAAGAAAATAAGGATGACCCATGGATGATATAGCTGTGCACTACTTTCTTGCCTATAATGTTCCACGCATACTGCCATATCAGCACTGCATGTTTTTACATTCTAAAAGATAGTTATTTTAGATCCTCTTATTGATGCCACTTTTTGTTATAACAGTTATTTTTAAAGACTGACTTTCTATTTATCCTTAAAGCTTTTACAAATTATTTTAATGAATTTTGTCAACAGTGGTGGCCCGGTGGACTGGGTAAAATTTCTACACATGCTGTTGTGTATGCTCGCCTCATAACAGATGGTCAAGATCATGGGGTGCATGGTAACTTTCAAGACTCAGTGAGAGAGCACCATATGTAAAGTGTTTTCTTCTGGTTGAATTATTTATTTAAAATTTTCTTCTGTACAGGTTTTATAGTTCAGCTAAGGAGCTTGGATGACCACTCACCTCTTCTGGGCATTACTGTTGGTGATATTGGAGTGAAATTTGGAAATGGAGCATACAACACTATGGATAATGGTGTTCTGCGGTTTGATCATGTTCGCATCCCAAGGAACCAAATGTTGATGCGGTTTGTTCTCTTTCTTCCCTTCTCTGTGTGTTGCTTTGGATATATTATGTGTGTATCTATCTGTAATTAAACATTTTCCTTAATAGACAATATAAAAGAATTACATTTATTGTTTAAACGAACTGTTGAAATCATACTATTGCATTGGCATGGCTTTTAAGTCCAAAGTGATCTGCTTGTTTGGGCTCGTTATGACAATTGGAGAGCTATTTTCGTCTCCCATTTTTATTTGATAACATTTAATTATTAATTGCTGATACCGATAAAATAAGTTATTAATTATTGCCCATCCATAGAGGAAAACTTCAATGCTGGGACTGGGGGCTATGCTGCAGCTCACATGGACAAGGGCACTGTTGAGGTGGCCAGTCTAATGTGTTATGTTTGAGTTGAATAACCCTGGAGTTGATATATAGGACACTATCTGTGCTGAAGTTTCTCATACACGATTACACGTCATGGTTTCCTGCTTCTAATGTCATCAAATTAAACTTTGATGGTTGTGGATTGTGGTTTGGGGTGCCTAGGAAATTCAAGAACAGTAGTTTTCAGAAATTTTGATGGAGACCCATGATGATTCAATAAGAGTGGTGGTAATCCTACCAGGGATAAGATTAGCCAATTCCCTAACTTACAGGAATTTAGTGGTAGAAGGGGACTTTTTGTAATTGTGGGCTGACTTAAAAATGATAGTACTCTCTTGGAAGCATGATATGTTTTTTAATTATAAAGTAAATGCAGTTTTTTTAAAACGAAAATTGAAATAGTACAATTACATTTTCTTCTGTTTATTTAATAAAATTTTCATTGTTACTGATAAAAAAAAGAAAAAAAAAACTCAGCCATCAACATTCTCATCTTGATTAAAATACAAACATCAATTACATATTTATGCTATCATTTCATCATCTAATTCTAATTCTGGTCATAGATAAGTCCCAAAAGATGAATGAGATAGGTCTTTAAATTCAGGATGTTTGCAGCCATTTCTTAACGAATGACCCAATATGAGCCACAGTTCTTATTATCTCTGCTCTTTCCTTCTAAAACTCCTGTTTCTTTCTTTCCATATACCCCAATTGATTGCCAAATGGAATTGAACTCTAGAAAGTTTTTGCCTTCTTGCTATCTGATACTGCAGGCTACTTAATAAGAGTTCTAATCATGGAAGCATAAAAAGTCTTCACCATAAAAACACCATTAGTAGATTCTTTCCACCATGTAGCATCTTCTGACGATGGCAATACTTGTGTTCCTTCTAAACATTCAAACAGATCAATCCATTCCTCAATCTCTCTCTAGCAATGGTTTCCTGAAAAATGGGTGCCAAGCAATCTGATTATTTCTGATTTCAAAAGAGTCCCTTAGCTGCAATGTTCTAATCATTTAATGGATATGATCTTGGACATAATCCACACAACTTCCCAACCCCAAACCACTTGTCTTCACAGAACCACACCCTATTACCCTCTCCCACCTTATACTTTGTACAGTTTGCAATTAATTGATAAAATTTCGTTGTTCCTCTCCAATTTGCAAATAATTGAAAATAAAGACATGTCATGAGAGAGGCAAAACAGTTGGATATGGAATTGAGAACAATTTACAACTGGGCACTGGGATCAGCCAACAGTATGGTTGATGCCTTGGAAAAACAAGGAATAATCTGAAATCAGTTCAATTAGATTTTGATTCCCCAAGGTAGTGAACTTGTAAAAAGTAAAATTCAAAAAGGAGGGTAGCAGGTGCTAGCCCAAAGTAGGGGTGTTTGACACATTTCTGTTTTGTATATCTTTCTTTAACATAATACTTAATAAAGCTTTGACTTTTTACTGATTAAGGAAAAAAAAAGCATGCTGAAGTTTTTCTCAACTGTTCCAGGGTTTCTCAGGTTACAAGGGAAGGGAAATATGTGCAATCTGATGTTCCAAGGCAGCTAGTTTATGGGACTATGGTTTATGTACGTCAAACTATTGTATCTGATGCTTCCTGTGCTTTGTCACGAGCAGTTTGTATTGCAACAAGGTATAGTGCTGTCCGAAGACAATTTGGTTCACAGGATGGTGGGCTTGAGACCCAGGTAATCCAGGAGGCAATGTTGAAATCATAATGAAACTTCAGCTTTTGCTTATAAAGTAAGGGCTTAACCGATATATAGGTGGCATGGAGTCTTATAACTTCTACTCTGTTTCTATTAGTGATTGCCTTGGATAGAAAACCCATATTTAGGTGTAATGTATCCTATTGTTAGTGTCCAATTAACAAGATACTGATCCTGACCTTCACCTGATCCAAAAAACTGAACACACTGATGACCCTAATGATCCATTACATGATTTTTCCTGGACCACTGGCTATTTAACGATAGCTGTGATGATTTGATTGCAACCTTTGGATCCACCACATTCTTTCCATCGAGGATTTCTATTGTATCGATTGAGGCATCAGGTGTGGGATTCCAGTCCATAGGTTGCACACTCACCTTAGTGGTTATCTAGGGAGAAATCCTAAAATATCTCATCCATGAGTAAACAATGATAGATATCTATTTCATAGTCAAAGTTTTTTGTTATCTTTGATGACTCTGATGAAGATAAGTTATGGCTTATAATCAAATATTTCTCAGTCCTATGGTTTCACTGGTGTTCCTCCAGAAAAGCTCCATCTTTTTTTTTTTTTTGATAAGTGATTATCTCATTGATTAAGGAAAAAAAGATTACAAGTTTTCTGGATAGGTATCCAGACACCATAAATTCAATAACAGCAGTTACAACTGAGCCCAAAACAATTGATCTCTATGCACTCCCTGTTTAGCCATATAACCAGCTAACCCATTTTCTGATCTCCTAACCCAGTTGAGGGTGGTTCCAGTAGGTGGGGCACATAGGTCCTAGGCGCAGCCCTTTCAAAAGGCACATGCCTGGTGTGCCTAGGCATGCGCCTGATGTGCCTTACGCCTCCGAGAACCCCCTATTTGATAATGGTGTTCATTCATTTCATCCTAATAAAATATCTTCATTTAAAGCAATTAAAATTATAAAATGATTATTTTTTGTGTGAGAACTAAGAACTTAAGAACCTAACATGGACTTATTTGAGCTTGCCTTGAGGGGTGTGGCACAAAGGCAGTTCGTTGAATCAGGAATGTAATATGCTTTACATCACATTAGCTACTTGAAGTAATGCAATTGAGGAAAAAAAGAGATTGTGGGTTTTACATGCTTGAAGAATGTTTTATATGTTTGATTTTAATTTTAGATCATAGGTTTTTAAAACAATTATTTTAAAATCTAAGTTTATATTTTTTATTAATATTATGTTTAATATATATATATATATTTTTTGCATTTTTATTGAATTTCTGGTCTCTTTTTTGCTCTTGTTCTGAGTGTTCACAAGATATCTTTTTGTGTTTTTGTGATGGTTTGTAATGCCTTTTCTTGTTTTCTACCCATTGATCTCCAGGTGATTGATTACAAGACTCAGCAAAGCAGACTCTTTCCATTGTTAGCTTCAGCATATGCTTTTAGGTTTGTTGGCGAATGGCTGAAGTGGTTGTACACGGATGTGAGCCAGAGATTGCAAGCCAATGATTTCTCGACATTGCCTGAAGCACATGCATGCACTGCTGGTTTGAAGTCATTGACTACTTCTTCCACTGCTGTATGTAAATCTTAGCTTTCCTATGATTACATTACTTTCCTTTTTTATTACTTTCCCCATTTTTCTGGGATATGTTCTCCACTTCTCTCAGAATGGTTATGGCATCTAGGACTTCAAGCGGGTGTTTATTGTTTATTTATGAAACTGACCTGTTGTGTACGTAATAAAGAATGCATTGAGAAAGGTAAGCCAAGAAGTTCATCTGTTTACCTGAACAATATATCATTGGAAACTGGGAAAGTAAGGTGTTTTTTGTACATAACACAATGCACAATTATTTATTTTAGTTTAAAACACTTTAGTTCCATATAAGACAACTGAAGTTGAAACTACCCCCCCTGTTGGGGGAAATGCCAAAAAGACATGTCCCCAACACCCCCATGCACATAACCTGATGTAAAGGGTGGAACAAACGTTTAAAGTTAAATCTTCCCAACTAAACATGATTTTGGTTCTATGAGGTCAAAACACCTAGAAGGCGCTTACATGGACTCTAAATGGGAATGGAACCACTGTCCCAAACACCCATTAAGTCACCCAGCATGGTCATGCATCCTGTCATGTTCTGGAGCTCAAGCACAATCAACATGGGAATAATGTCCCAAACACCCAAGGCTGCAACTTGGGTGGATCAGGCTTGGCATTTATTAAATTTGAATGGACTTTCCCAGGGCCCAGGTCTGATACAGTGTAATTGTGTAAATTCTTCCAGTTGGGTACCTAACTTGCACGGTTGCACCCATTGTTATCTTGTATTTAAGCTAAGTTAGTGGACTATATCATATAAATCTTCATGCCAGTGCATTATTTATGCTTTCTTCGCTAGGCGACGCCTAGGCAACAAGGCGGCGCCCTTTGAGGCTCACCTCGCCTAATATCCAAGCAATTTTGTACTATGTATTGTAAAATACTTTTTATTCTTTATTTTTTGACATTATAATTATAGAATAGGAACTATTAAACTAAAATATTCATCTTGTGTGTTTATATACTAATTTGTTTTTATTATTTTCTTATTTGTTAGGATTTAATCAATACAAATTGCTAAGTGCTGCATTGAACCCTCAAAGACTTTAAAACCTGAACCAATAAGTAAGGAAGAACTTAAAATTTTGTCTACTACTACTACTACTACTACCACCACTACTTTTTCTTTTCTTCTTTTCCTAGAACAAGAATAAGGGTTGAGCCCCTATATTTTTTCGATTTTTCTTTTCCTTCTTTTTTTTTCTTCTCATGAATATGTTGATTTTCTATACTTTAACATGAACTCTATACTTTTCTTATGAAAGTTATGAATAATTATTAAGGAAATATGGCTATGGTACCTAGGGAACTACCCTAGGATCTATGTTTTTTATATAAAAAAATCCATTGCCTAGGCGACGCCTAGGCGCTTCCCTGATGCCCAGCCTCGCCTTGGCGCCTTGAAAACTACGATCCAATGGTCAAAACTCTTCAATAATTAAGCTATTTGTGTATTTTACCATCACATCAAGAAATGCCCCCTATATTAAGCATTTTATTGACAAATCTTAATTGTGCTTGGAGCAGCCACACTGATGAATTAAAATGAACTTTCATCTTCTGTTTCCACTTTCATTCAGTAGAAATGGTTTTTTTAAAAGAGATATTCCTATTATGGTTTAACAGCCAGAGGAATTTGCTTGTACCGTTGGCTTGATAACTGCACCTCACCTCCTTAATGTGGTGATTGATAGGATATTTAAATTAACAGACAGGAATTTTACATGCAAAATATGCAAAGTTCCCGAAGTCTAGGTTATAATTAGATTGAACAAATTTCTAGGGCATGTTCCATGAATGAACTCAAGAAGAACCCAAGTTTAAATGATGCGAGAAACTGCTTTCCTTCATTTAATTTTTTCCTTAGACATAGGCATTTGAAGCATTTTAGCCATGTTCCTCAGTTAATATTCTTTCTATTTTCATAGACCTACTCAATATAAATACAAGTTATTTCTCTGCACTAATGTGTATTTCTTTGGTAACCACATCAACATTGAGACCCCCCATCAGTTTTACATCATTATGATGTTACTTTAGTTGTCATTAATTAATGATTCTATATCTTCTGTGGATAGTCTTTAATTCTATCAAGTTTTGGGAAGTGCTATGATGCCTTAATTCAAAATCTATTATTAAATTCCATTTCCCTTGTTTGGCAACTAAATACATTGCTTTAGTGTCAAGCATGATTCACACTTTCATATCTCTTTGTTTGTCATTTGGCTGTCCTCTGCCTAGCCATGTGATGTTGTTGTCGTGGGCACTTGCATTTCAAATCCCAATACATTCCCATGAACCTCTGACCTTTTTTTTCCAATTTTTATATCCTCTGTCGCAACATTTGAGGATTTAAATATGGTCAATAAGCTGCAACTTCTTGATCTAGATGTTATTTTCTATTGACAACCTCATCTGCTTTGGTTACAGGATGGCATTGAAGAATGTAGAAAACTGTGTGGAGGCCATGGGTATCTATGTAGCAGTGGGCTTCCAGAATTATTTGCTGTATATGTCCCTGCCTGTACATATGAAGGAGACAACATTGTTCTGCTTTTACAGGTTAGCAGATGATAGTGGTAAAATTATGTTGATAGCTTAAAAACATAAAACCTGTATAGCCAGCTACGCTTGAATACTGGAAAGTAGATATTTACATTCCCATCTCTTCTTTTTTCCCTGTTGTATTTGCACTTTGCATTGAAAGACTGGATCTGTTGTAGCATTACCCTGCAGTCCTGCTCTCTTGTTATGTGAGATGGTATGGTGGCACTGCCTCAACTTTTTGTTGGAGAGATGATATAGCCACGTAGGATTGGCAGCTCTGATGCCAAATTGCTGTAGGATGACTATGACCTAAGGGTGAGTCTACAAAGGTATTAATTAACTAGGAAAGGGTTTAGGGGTGATATTCATAAAAAAAAAGGTTTAGGGGTGATTTTAGGACTAGAGGTATAGTTCAGTCTGGTTAGGAATTAGGATGGGTCTCTGGGCTTAACTACAAGAATTGTAGGTTTGTATTGGATAACTGTGAAAAATTTTTGAGTTGAGAAAAGTCAATATAGGTTTGATTTTTTTTTTCAAATGAAACTTTTTAAATAGGTTTAGGTTTAGAATGGATAGTTATAAGGGTGACCAAATTTGGAGCATCTAATAGTTTATGCTTGTTTATAGATTATAGACATGCCCGTAAGTCTTGCTGGGTCATAATCCTGGGTACACATCAGATTCTAGTTCTCATATACATGTCCATGCAACACTGATAGAACCATAGAGAAGATGGAGAGAAAATCTAGCATTACTCGACAGGGTGCCTAGAATCACTCTAGGGCATGAGAATCATTCACCACGCATAGAATAATCTATAAACTCAACTAAACATAATTTATTCATCCTTCCAATCCTTCACACTTTATACATAGATATAGAATTATAAGGGCGACCAATCCCACTAGAACTAAGAAAATTTTAAATTACAGAATTGTCACTATCATCAGAAAATTACTCCTAAGCTACTTAACTATTAACTATAATTACACACAGGGATGACAATGGTGTGGTTTTAGCACTATAATCAGGACCAAGGAAACTCTAATTGTTGGCCCTGCACCAAGTTCTAAAGCTGGGAAAGTTATTAAACTACAAGAATATAGTGGTGGAGGGAGACTCTCAATTGCTGTGAGCTGCCCAAGTAGTACAACCAGGGACTATAGAAACATAGACACATTTTCAGGGAGATGACACAGCTTGCACAAGAATTTAGAACTGAATTCCAGTGGATTCAAAGAACAGCAAATACTATGGCGGACTCTTGCAAAGGAAGGGGTGGACAGGGAGCAATTGTATTGGGGGGGTTACCAATAAGGTTTCTGAATTCTCTGGGCTTGTATAAAGGAATGTATAAGGCAAGGTATCTCAGGCTATTTTGTGTCTTTGGGGTGCTTGGCACTTTTCTCTCTGAACATATTTGCATCCATAAAAAAAAAAAAGAATTTACACAAAACTGTGCTATGAATAGATAAATAAAACTCTATGGCCAGAACTAATAGAGAGAATGTAAAATGACCAAAATACTCCCAGTGTCATAAATACAAAAATACAAAGCAAACTCAAAAAATTCCATATCTGACTATTTGGCTCCTGCAATTACAGCTGTTATTTACACTAACCTGAATGATGTTATCCATGCTAATGTATACAGAGCATAGGCTTTTTTAAGCACCCTAATTTCTTCAAAGTAACAGCACCAGAGGCATCACCCAGTCAGTTAGGGCTAGGAATGCATTGCCAGTAGAAGGGATGAGATGACCGGTGCACACTGTGAGGATCATAATGATTATCCTTGTACTAGTAGGTAGCACATGTGATGAACATGAATAAAATCAAAATAAGTTTTATTTTTTTGTTTGTGTTTTATATGCATTTTTAGGGGTTCTCAAAGTTCGGTTAAACGAACCATAGGCTACTTTTTTAAACTGAACCGGTACTACCAGTTTTTGCAATTTCACAAACCGGTACCACCAGTTGACCAGTTTGTTTCTTTTGTTTTTTTATATTTATAACATATATTATAAATAAATAATATATTTATAATATATATATAAATATATATCAGTTGGTTTGATTAACCTCCAGTTTTTTTTCTAGGTTAATCAAAAACTGAGTCAGTCCTTCGGCTTTTCAAAAATACCAAACCGATCAGTTCGGTTTTCTCGGTCTAATTCGGTTTTTCGGTTCTTTATGAGCACCCCTATGCATTATATGTATATTAATGTCTTAGGTTATAATTTATGATGGACCTAGACCCATGCAATTGTTTTATTGTATCACACTTGCCAGAGTATTTAGGTGTCAAAACATTAGCTAATATATGAAGTTCAATATATGCCTATGTATTTGTTAGGATGTGCTTGTTTGTACTCAGATCATCTCTTGCAGGTTGCGAGGTTTCTTATGAAGACTGTTTCTCAACTGGGTTCTGGAAAAAAACCTGTTGGAACAACAGCTTACATGGGAAAAATCGAACATCTGATGCAGTGCCAATGCGATGTTCAAAGAGGTAAATTATCTTGTTTCTGAATGCTGGTACTTACAGTTAAAATTTCTATTTGGTGCGAGATATTGCATTTGAAGTCAAATTAGAATGTTTTGTCTTGGGGACAGTGTTATGGTGCATCTGAAAATCCCTTTCCCATAAACTCCTAAAAGCTTTCTATATTTGAGATCATGGAAAGTTTGTTGTTTGGAAGTCACAGAATAGGGATGCAATATCTATAAAAGAATTGTGATTAAGTTGCATATTAGGGATCAAAGTTATGTTCTCTTTTCCCCCTTTTCTTCTTTCTTCCGATAATTGTGAAGCAAACAGAAGAAAAGAACCTAATTTCCCATCTAGAAGACTTACATGGTCCTTTTCAAATAACACAGAATGATATATATATATATATATATATTTTGGAAAAGGTTAAGTAATATTTATTGAGAATGAAGTACACACTGGAGGCTGAGATCAGTCCCAAAACAGGCTGACTGATCTAAATAGCGATTACACAAGCCATCAAGACAAGGAAAAAAATAAATCTGATACATTACAGTTTCTAAAATCTGCTGCCACGGACAACCAAGAAATCAATTTGCCCACTAACTTCTGGGTTAGGTCCTCCAGACTTAGAAACTTGTTGCTGAACACCCTTCTATTTCTCTCAGTCCAGATACACCACATTACAGCATTTGGAATCATTTTCCATAAAGCCTTCTTTTTCTTGCTCCAGCCCACAATATGCCAGCAGCATAACAGCTCTTTTACCGACCTCGGCATCACCCAACAAACCTTCAAGGACTTGAGGAGGTGGTTCCACAACTGAGCCGAGAACGGGCAGTGTAAACA